GGCGAAAAATCCGCACATATGATTTTTTATATGTGTGCTCAACTATGTTTGTGTTTATTATAATTTGTAACACCCCAAACACTCATGTTTTGTCACCTTCGACTCTGTCAAAAAATAAATTGTTTTTTGTTTTTCCAAAAAAAAAAAAAATCAATCAATTCGTGTCTGTCCTACCAAAAAAAAAACCAATAGGATAAATAATTAATGTGTATGTGTTGATCAACTAACAAACTTCATTTTTCTTAGAAAATGTCATCATCAAACAGATTCAAAAATACTAAAAAAAAGAAACAGAGAAGCAGACAAAGAACAACATGAGTAAATGTTTTAAGAATAAGGATGGTGATGGTGGTTATCGCCATTACTCGTCACTCTAGTTATTTTTAAAAATGAATGGTGATTGTGGTTATCGTCATTTCTGGCTTGTTAAAATAAATTTTTTTTTTGTATTCCATATTATTCATTTTCTTCTTAAAACATAATTTAAATGATATATTGCTTAAAAATTTTAATCTTTTAATAAAATATTATCAAAATCAAATATTAACAAAATGAAAAACATTGGTTACTTTTTAGATCTACGCTTGAAGAAAGAGAGTCAGAAATTAATGCCTTCTGGATGTCAAAAAACCAGGATGAAAAGAAGCATAGAAAAAGAATTGAAAATGCCGAGAAGAAGAGCAAGCTGTGTGATGTATGTTCTAGACATAACTTTCTATGAATTCATAATCTTTCAAATTCAAATTATTAATGAATCGTCTCATTAGATAAAACATCATGCACTAACTTTCAATAATCATTTGTGTAGGCTTGGGCTTTCGTCAATAGTTGACCTTTCTTCCGAATTCTCTGGTGGTATGTGCTCCTGGTTTGGTGAGGAATGGCCAGACCTTAAAGCAAAGGCCCTGTCGCAGATAAACATCAAACCAAAGAAATTTGGAAGTGCAATTGAAAGTGACATTAACAGAATAGAAGAGGTATAAAAATGATTTATGATTAGATGTATATAATGTATACATAATCAAACCTTTTTTTCAATGTCCAGTTTTGTAGTGAATACAAATACTGGAAAGCAAGGGATTTCGTGTATGAGAAATTAAAGGGACGTCTGAATAAAACTAGAATTTTACAATGTCAAGTCATGAAAATCTATTTTTTTATATATGTAGTTACATCATCACTATGCAGTAATATTCACATTAGTTGTTGAACTGATTTTAATTTATAATTAGTTTAGAGATGTTTTTAACAGATCCCTTCATTTTCGTGGATAAAGAAGGAAATAAACAAAATTTAACAGAGATTGAATTTGTGCTCAAAGTTGCAGGTCCAATAATAGATATAATATTTTCCGATGTTCAACATCTTGTTCAGCTTAAATGGTAGATATTTTGTTTTCTCTAGGATGTTTATCAATTATTGTTTCTAATCATAAATACTTGCAGGGGAGAAATGGTTTCAAAAGCAACAGCAGTTGGAAGAAAAATCGACTTACAAGTTACATGCCGAGGAAAAAATCAGGGAAAAATTGTGGAGCTTAGCCATTCTGAGTGCGCTTGTAGAACAACTCCTACTAAAATTATTAGTGATCGCAGTAAATGCCTGAGAACAAATAAATCTGTTCTTGATAAATATCTTTCGCATGATCTGTCTGATGAAATGATCAAAAATTCTGCAGTTATTGGGTTGCAGTTAGCAGGTATGGCTTTAACATGGCTTTAACACATATGTTACGCATTGCATTATATTTCATAGTTATTTATGCTTTGGTTCTATTTTGTTGCCTAGCTTTATATGGTCAAATAATTGGTGTTGACTTATTAGATCATGGATTGTATTTTGGTTTTGAAGGGCCACTATTAAGGTATCCTGCTCAAATCAATGATATTGCTGTTCTGAAACAAACTTTGGAAGCATTATATTTCTTTAAGGTAAGAAACTGAATTTTTTAATGTTTATTTATGATGGATTATTTATAATTCATTTTAAATATTAGGAAAGTATTGTTCACAAAGCAGAAGCACTATTGTGTCTTAATAAGGATTCGGATCCCTTTAGTAATATTTTTCACACTGAGATAATTTCAAAGCCCCATCACCATAAAGCGGATTTCATGAGTCCAACTTATTTTACACCACAAAAAAATAAAAAAAATGAAATAAGATTGTTGTCATTCGATAATCACATTTAACATTTAACATTTTAATATTAATATTAATATATAATAATAAATTTTCCTTGTCATTCCCAATTGTATTTGACAAATTAAAATTTTTTTAACTTTTGAATACAATAAATACAACTGTGATTTACATAGAAAATGTCAGATACACAATCCACAATTGATTTTCAAGTAACCTCTGAATTCATTAATATTATCTTTGGAACTACACTTTGCTCACCAGAAGCATGTTGTATTTGTGGTATGCAACGTCATGGTATATTAAAGAGTGGTTCAAATACTGGGATCGATAAAAATGAAAATTTATTTCAACATAGTAAGATTTTTTTTATTATAATTTTTTGTTCACAGATTTCAGTTTCTTGTTTTGTAATGGTATATCCTCATACTGCTTTCTTTTTTTAATGTTTATTAAGTTTCTTTCTTGGTAAATATTTCATAGGTAATTCTTTCTTTTTTTAGATAAGCTTCAAGTATCTGAGTATTGTTTATTTCATATTATTATTTTTATATAGAGGTAATTCTATATGTCACTTAATATTAACAAATGAGACACTATAAAACTAATTGTGATAATAATAACTAAATTTTGAACCCTGAAATCCTTAGTAATACAAATGTTCACTGGCTTTGTTGCAGTATGCCCCATATGAAAGTTTGCGGATGAGGTTTAGTTGATAATTTTTTTGAGAAAGTTTTTTACCCATGTTAAGTAAAGATCTAGTATATTGACCTTCTGCCGGCCATTGGATATATTAGCTATTGTAATTATTTTCCCAATAAAAAAAGCTTACTTCAAAGAAATAATTTTGTTAATAAATAATTTCTATAAATTTGAAAAAGGATGGAGGCGGAACAAAATTTTCTAAAAAATAATTATCACTTTGCAAGGTAATGAATGCTATACAAATTGTTATTCTGCAGCATGAAGACTGAATTAATAACAATGAATAATTTGTAATAAGTTTTTTTTTGAATTTAAAATAATAAAATTCATAAAAATAGTTAGCTACATTTTTTTCTTGTATGTTGCAATTCTATTAATTTTTTTTCATAAAATTCATTATTATTATGTATTTTGCGTGGAATCCACAGCTGCATGATTGTATAACGAAAGTACAAAATTTCATAGTATGCAACTTTTGTCACTTGATACATTTTTTTTTAAATTTATATGTGCCGATCGCCCGGTTTTATTAGGGAGTTTCTATCGTCCACGAATTAAAGTTTTAAAGTTTTGCGGTTTTGCAGATCATAATAATAGCCTGTATCACATGTAATCAATATATACTTGGTGTATATATATATAAATTTCAATGTGTAACTAATGCAGATTTCTACAAATTTGGAAACTATTTGCAGAAAACTACCAATGTACGATGTCACGCCCGCACATACACTGATGATGTAACTACATATATAAAAAAATAGATTTTCATGACTTGACATTGTAAAATTCTAGTTTTATTCAGACGTC